CTACTTGTTATTCATCAACTCCTGTATTAATTGACTCAATGTTTCACTCGGTCCAGAGTTTGTGCGAGTACGTCTCATTATTTTCCTTTCTCGAAGCAAAGCTGTGTCAGAGTGTGGCCTCACACAGCCACTAGAATGGTTGGAGTCACTTGTTTATCAATATACCTTAATGTGAATTATGAGAAATACTTTATTTTTTATTGCCTCTGACTCGTTACCGCCCAGTCACTCCCCACTGAACTCCTACAATAGTCTACAGACACAGTGGATTTGATTGAAGTCAGCTGATCTAATTCAAATTAGAAGTCAAAGCAATAAAAAGTGTATGTTCTGGTTAATGTTGAGAAATAAAATCCCGAAACACCTATAACCATTTCTCCTGCATGGCTCCGGACAACAGTCAGAGGCTCCATCAGTAATGATCTGATGATCATCAACCTTTTGTCGTCAGTGTAAGCTGAAGCTATAGTGCTTCTTTATATTTCTTGTATATAAAAATATCTTTTAAATCTTCAAAAACTCCATTACGGTAAATGCAGCAGTCACTAAACAGATGTGGTCACTGCTGAGACACACAACTCTGGTTCAACTGTAAAAAACTGTCACAATCATGACAGCAAAGAAGTTTAAATTAAATTGAGATAAACAGAAAAAGAGCATATCGTCTACTCTCACTGGAGACAGGAAGCAGAGCCACAATACTCTGCTGTCAGTGACTGACAGAGAGACAGACAGACAGACAGACAGACAGACAGAAAGACAGACAGACAGACCGGCCCATCAGTGTCCTGTCCACTGTCAATGTGACATTGTGAAGGTTGGCAGCTTGTGTGCAGAGATGGGAGAGGGGAACGGGAGACGAGTCAAAATAGATAAAGTTTAATGATGGGGGAGAGAATAACAGGCGGGCTCCCCAGGCAGCCGGGCGGAGAGAGCTCTACAGCAATCAGTGACACACGGAAACACGCCATATCGTCGTTCATATAAACAAATCGCAAACTTTTCCACTCAATCGTAGCTGCCACTTGAGCAGCGGGGGCTTTGAAATGTCAAGCGAGCGACAGCGACCAAACACTGTCAGATGAAATCTTGTGACATCTTTAACCTTTCTGAGAGTTCGAGGACACTGCACAACCACCGACACATGAGACCTGCACCCATCGCACGGTGCTAGCTGTCAATCACATAGTATTCATGCACGCTTTAATAACTGTGTGACTCGAAATGGCCCCATAATTGATAATGCTGTACTAAATACGTTTACTTTTATAAATCTAGTCTCCGTCTGTTTTCATACACAGTCCGTGCTCCCACCTGATGTGCAGTACCTAATGACTCTTAATTTTAATGAGCCAGAACACATGGAGGACACAAGCTCAACACGTCACAGTTGTAAACATTTCTTTTTTTAATTTAATGCATTAGGGACATTTCCACCACTAGTTTTGCTGACCTGCTGGTGTGTTACCATGGTTACCAAGCAATTTTTTCCACACTTAATAATTATCTGCATTTTCATACGGTTTCCTCGACAGTTTCCGAGGTCATGGATGGGGAAAATCTAATAGTACTCAACAGTAATCACATATCTCACTCGGTTGGCCTAATTCTCACAACGGATTAAGACCCACATTCGTATAAGTCGTCTCAGGCGTGACGTTCGGTCCACACCAGAATCTGAATGACAGCATTTACTCCACCTAAACGAACTGTGCCACTGTGTGAAAGCACCAGAAACGCACCAGTTAACAAATGGCAGTTGAATTACAGTGTGATCACTCCCTGTCACGACTTTACATTCCCTTGTTAGGACAACCTGTCTGTCTTTTGTTTTTCTTATCCGCTCTTGTTCTTCCTCTCGGTCGATCTCACCGACTCCTTTATTGCATCTTTCCATCACTACCCGGCCCTTTCCTCGATTTCCCCGGAGAATAAAAGAGTATGAGGGGGGGAAGACACACATGCAAACATGCAAACACACAAAATTACATCTGCCATATAATGTGACTGACTGTGCCTCTGCATGTGTGTGAGCAGCCCTCAATTAAACGGATCCATACACTCACCACTGAACCTCAGTAACAGGACTTAAGGGAATCGGACAGTCACTGTTTCACATGGGACAACATAAGCAGAAGTGCCGACTGTCATGGTTTCTGGAAAACATTTTGTTCACGCTTAAATGAACAAGGCCATTAACAGCATGTGACTAGGGTCAAAAGATCTGAAGCATGGTCGACTACGCGAAGGAAGAAAGTGCTGAATGTGCTGTTTCCAGGCAGCTGGGTCATTTGTCCAATTAGGCCGCTGAGATCAATAGTGAGGTTGGAAAATATTCATGTTTAATTCACAGCATTTCCTGTTTTTTTCTTTTAGTGCAGTGAAGTACTTTCTAACATCTGTGTTACTTTTGGAGGCCAATATAATATTTTCACATTAAGAAGTGCGCAGGGACTTCACCATAGATCTCAGTTTAGAAAACCGACATTCCTGCTTATTCATCAGTCATCTGAGGGGCCTAATGTAGTGTTATTGCATCTTTAATCTTTGCCATCATATTCACTCTGAGCTGAATGGGAGCTTCAAGGAAGTGCATACCCAGATGTGCACCCTGAGGAAGCTTTATGTGAAATGGGGCGTATTACTGAGAAAGTACGTCTTGCCATTCAAACATTATATCATCTAAAGTACAGGAGGCAACTGCTGCTTTTGTTTTTATCTACTCATAAGGGGGTTAAATATACATAGACAGTGAATCCAGAGAAAACATGCAGAACGACAGATATACAAGAGAAGGTAAACAGTAGATAAAACCTCTGCCAGTTTTCTGCAGGGAAAAGAATTCTCCAAAAGGAAATCAACCCTTTGAGACATGCACATATAAGTCTGGACATTCAAGTTGCTTTGAACGTTTTCCACATTTTTTCCTGCCCACCCTTCCACGCATTATTTCACAGCAGAATTTCCACGTCCTGCCTGAATGTTCATGCCTGGAAGCAGATTTACAGTTCAACCTTACTAGTCATCCCACGTGCACGTCTAAAAGCAAAGGGTGATTGTGCCTTTGGAATTGTTGCTGCTACACTATATAATGCTCTTATACTGACTGCATCTGTTGAAGCCTTTAAAAAAAACTATTCATTCAATTGGTCTTTGTCTCACCTTGAGTTTTGAAGTATTTAAAACAAGGTGTTTTTGTTTTTACTTCTGATTTATGTTTTTCAGTTTTTCTGCTGCAGATATTCATTCTTTAACTACTTTTATGGTGTTATTTTATTTTGAGTGAATCACTTGGTGGCCTTGCTCTGGGGAAGGTGTTATACGAAATAAACTTGGCTTACTTACTTATTTACACGAACAGCATCATCATAAATCAAGGCCCTTCTCACCGCCTCTTTTTTTTACTCCTTTACGCCATTTGCATGATTTCATTGGTGTTCTCATGCTTTGTGGAAACATCAAATACAAATACAACAGAGAGAGAGAAAGGAGAGAACAACTACACTATTAGAGCAAATACCTCTGCCAAGGCCCAACAGTCTCCTTAAATTCAATCAAGCTGCACCAAGCTGCTCACATAACAGTTCTTTTCATATCAGGTTTTTTCGTTGTCAAAAAACAAACAAACATCTTGCAAGTTACAGAAAGTAATACGAGTCCTGGATCTGCGTCAAGAACGTTGGTTCGGACAAACAGAACAGAAATGGACAAACAGAAATGAAAACCTTGATTTTTTTAAACCAACCTGAGCTGAATTGTTCTTTTTTTTGATACTGAGAGAGAAAAAGTGTGATTTTGTTTTGTCTCTCTGGACATTTTATAGAGACAAGTGACCAGCAGAGCATGTAACAACCACGGCACGCACGTGCATGCACACACACACACACACACACATACATACACATTGTATGCATGTTTTTTTGCACTGATGACAGACAAGAGGCATAATGAGGAAGTAATGATCATAATTAGTATGAAGTTCTGTGCCATTAGGGGCGTAATTGATCTCACAGTTCTGTACCTGAGAGGCCAGGCAGTCTGCTCACTGACCTTTGCACACTGAGCTATAATCTCTACAGAAATAGCCTCCATAATGCAAGCTAACCATTTGTTTGGCCCACCCTCTGCTCCCTCTCTGCTGTCAGGATGACCTTGAATTTAACAGGTATCCAAACCTCAGGAATTACCTAAAAGGTACAGTGTGTAGAATTTTGTGATATCTAGTGTTGAAATATCATGTTGCAGCTGAACACCCCTCACCTCACCCTCTCCTTCCAAACATGAAAAAGAACCTGTGGTAACCTTTAATTGTCATAAAAACTCAAAAGGTGTTTAGTTTGTTCAGTCTGGACTAATGTAAAAAACATGGTGGCCTCCATAGAGAGGGTCCCCTCGATGTAAATATAAAGTATTTAAATATAAATGGCCTTTTCTGGGGTAAAGAAAACTACAATTCATACAATTTAGATGAAACGAACTAGTGAAAACATCATGAGGATTATTCTACATTAAATGTCTGCCAATAGTTCCCTTTCACCTAAATCTTACACACTGGACCTTTGAAATGCTGCATGTAATAATTCTGCAGAGGGCAGTTATTAGAAGATTATCTGTTGATTATTTGAACTGACATTAGACACTCAGATGATTCATTCACGCACTTTTTCTACTTATTTGCATTATTTGTGCATATTAAAAGTGTTTATCACTGGTAATGCATTTACCCTTGACAGTTAAATAACTGTTTAGGCCTTTGGGTTTATGTAATCGTTGGCCTAGAGTAATGATTATAAATGATCTTATTAGCATATTTATTAGCATATTTTGTTCATAAGATTATGAATTACTTGCACATCCTGCACTTTCAGGTTAATGAGTGCACGCTGCATGAGGTTTACTGTGCACTCATGACGTCGGTGTGGGAGTACTGTGTGCCAGTATGAGTGCAGTGAGTTATGAGCTTGCTGTGGAGCTCGGTTTGACCTCGGAGTGTGTCGTACCTCATGCCTTTGGTGGAGCGGTTATGGAAGTTTTGCAGGAGCTGCGGGAGGCCTAGCATGGCCTCAAACATCACAGCCAGGGAGCCCAGCGCCTCCACAAACACGGGAGAATCGAGCAGCAGCAGGGTCACCACCGCACACAGCACAGTGAAGCCAAAACAGAAAAGCAGGTAGTCCTCGAACGCACTCCACTTCCAGAAGTAGCGAAAGTCCAAATCTGGACAGAGAGAGAAAGAAAAATTATATTCAAAAGTTGTTTACATTCAAATAAATATACACTGAATAGAAAATCAGTGGGATGGATTTAAAGAAAAGCAAACACAAGAGCCAGAAGAAGCATATTCAGAGAAAGGAACTGTATGTGTGTGTGTGTGTGTGTGTGTGTGTGTGTGTGCGTGTGTGAGATGCTGGAGAGTGGGACGATGCCACAGTGTCTGCACCTGGAAACAGAAGAGCAACCACTGACAGAGATTGAAAGCAGTGAGGAAGATATAATGGACAAAAAAAAAAAAAAGAAAGCATGCTGGAAAAGCAGGGATGAGTGTTTCATTAAAGCATGCATAGATATTCTGCAAAGACAGCACTTCTTGATCAATACCATGCACATGCTTAAGTGAATGGAACAGAGATAAATGAGATTCTGGAAAGCTTTTACATTTCTATTACTTTGGAATAACCTCGCATTTGGCGGGGCCAGGCTGCACATTTAGAAACTTTATTACCTTTGGTTCAAAGCTATCTTCTCACCCACACAAGCCTATTTTTCAAGTGCAACTTTTACAATTTACTGATAAATACAGAGACCACCGCTGTCTAAAGCTGTTGTTTCTCCTCTTAATAAACTGCTCAAATTGAGTTGAGGATGTGGCACAGACCAGGAGACAAAATTCAAGGAGTGATTCTGAATTACAACTAAACAAATAGAGTAGAGCCTCTTTACACTTCGACACGAGTGCTCGGTGACTTAGCTTCGACCACATCGACATTAAAAGTCACCCTCCACTTTGATCCCAGCTACACAACTATTTTTTCCATGACTGTGTTTGCACCGTTGTGACGCTGTTGGAGTGACAATCTTTCCACAGACAGACTAACACCTTCCACAGTATAGGCTCCGAAAAATCCCCTCAGTGATCACATCCCACTGCAGTAACCGTCTCCAGGAAACCATTTCACACACACTGACACACAAAGTGAAAACATTATAATCACTGTAATCATATCCATTCCAATGGCTTCAGTAGCTCTAAGATCCCAGCATGAAGTCTGGTTCGGGAGCAGCGTAAGAAATCTCATGGGAGGAAGAATCCAGCTTCGTCATCTACATTCCTGTCACCATCAACCATCTCCTCAATGGACCATAATGTGAGATGATCGACGATCTCTCATCGCTTATGTATGACCATGGAACTGTGGAAAGCTGCTGACATCAGCTAAAGGGGATTGATGGCTAAATAAGAGCACATCAGTTAGAATGGGGATTGAAGTGTAACGCTGCACACTGTGAAGCACCTGGTGTTTCTGTTTGCCACTTCCACTACAAGCTGCACTTATAAGATGTGTGTCCTTGAGTTTCTGTGGAGATGAAGTTTTAACCTTGTCAACACAGAGAGAAGAAAAATCTACTCAAATGTAGACATTACTTTTAGAGCTGCAGCAAATCATTTTTATTATCCATGAATGTAGGGGTTATAATTTTTAATAAGGGACAAACTGTTTGATCTATTAAACTGAAAGAAATGGGCCCTAGCGCTCCAAGACACATATCATGTATCACTATGGCAACAACCCTGGTTCACTGCCCCTTGATTTCTCTTTTTCTCTTTATGCAAAACATTCATATTTCCAACCTTTTTAAAACCTCAAAACATTCAACAATTTAATTTAAATTCATAGAAAACAAGATGTTGTCATTTCTGTGGAAAATACTCCAGATAACAGACATTCTATGATTATCAGCTTATCTTTTCCAATAATCACTTTTAGGTCAGAGCTTGGATTTGGGGTGAAAATGTGAACTTTGCTGACTAAAGGCTGTGGTCAACTTTTATTGTGACATTTGATAAACTAATGAAAATGTAACAATTACTTCAAAATCATCACAAAGCATACGGTTAATAACTGTTATTAATTAAAACTACATACAGGTGAAGCAAAAAAGCTTCAACCACATCTCCCAGTCTTAATTGTCAGATGGACCAGAATTGTCTTCTCTGGTTATGAGAAGACAATTGAAAAACTCAAATTCGTCTTTCTGCTCTTTTCATTCAAGATTTGAGATTTTGCGTTTGCTTCAAGTTGTTTTTTTCGATGAATGAAATAAACGTATTAAATAAATAAATATGTGGAGCTTGACTAAAAGACTGTAAGCATTGTTTCATGTGCAGGTGAAAATCCTGAATGAGTTCTATGTGTGAACAGGACCTTATCCATTAATATTGTCTCACACACGCACACACACGCACACACACACACAAGGCCGGGACGTCTTCCATTCCACTCCAGCGAGCTGCATCAGCATGTGGTGTCCTGGGACAGACAGAGTGAGACATCTTGCAGCGAGTGCAACGTGGCATGTTTGTGGCAAACAGCGAATGTGATTAATGACTTTATTACTGAGAGCCACAAAAGATACATCACCCATAACCGACAACAGACACGCAAGGTGGGTGAGAACAGAGATACCACACCCACATACACACAGTTCTCGGCTCTCTCATTCACACACACTGACTCTGTGGACATCACTTATGTCTGTCCTCACTAACTTTGACACTGATAGAAGCCAAAGATCTGCAGACGGAGAGGCTGCCGCACCCCAGCTCTTATTCACAAGTCCCTCTTCACTCCTGCCGCCCCATTACATCAACACAGCATTAAACCTGAGATGACGCAGGCACTGCCGGACGGCAGAGCGAGACTGGAGAGGCTCAGAGGCTTTGCACTTTCTTGACAACATAAATGCCCTTTCATTTCCTTCTGAGTGAATCCAAGATGGTGAAGTGAAGAAATGTGCTGACAGCAGCAACAATGAGAGTAGTGGTATGTCAAAACTACCGTCAACTTTTCAGGGTTTAAAACCTCCACACACACACACACACACACACA